TTTGAAAATCTACATAAAAATGCTATAAAATCTTTCAAAATGCTTGCTTCAAACAAAATGGTATTTTCCTATTTGGAATCTAAGGTTGATGAAATCCAAAATCAATGGAGGCTCTAAGGTGTCATATTATAGATATTTAAAAGGTAAACGATAAAGATGAAAAAAATTCATGTTTTAACTTTGGTTGTGATACTTGTTATATTTGGCAAAAAGAGGTTAGATCTCTAAAGGCTAAACTTAACAAAGATTTAAAACCAAAGATAAATTTTTCAATTGATACCTCAAAATAGAATTTACCTGCTCATAATCCTTATAGGAGGTATATATTTGTTGAGAAGTGTGATACGGTGGGAGAACTGACTTGGGATTTTGCGTTTGTGTTCGCAAATGTTTCAGTTTAGCAAGAGTCGCCACCGACTTTTTATTTTATCCTAAGGAAAGGTCAAAAAGCACAGGAAAGACCTTTGAGATGTTTTCGTGGGTTCGGGGGGTAGATTATGAAAAGGGAAGGTGCTAGCACCCTTTTCATCCATGGTTATCCATGGGCTCTTAGTTACTTGCTTAGATCACTTGCCTTTGCTTTTCAATTGTTTGAAATGGTGCTTTGTGTGTGTGGTTTTGAAAATGTTTTGAAAAAGATGCCTTGTCTAGGCAACCTTTGTAACAATTCTTGTTTGAATGTTTTACAAAGGTGTTTGTTTTTTTGAAAAGATGTTTCAATGTTTTCGAAAGTTTGTTTTAAAATTGTGTTGAGATGTGTGTTTGAAAGTAGCAAGGATGTTTTGCAAGCTTTTGATCAAGTAACTAAGAGTTGTCTACCCTATTTTACTCAAAGATCTTTCTCATGTTTTAAACCTTTTTAACAGTGTTATTTCACCATTGTATTTGGTGAACAACCTTGTGTTAGGATGTTTGAACGGGACAGGTGCGGGTCATCGTATACAATCATTGAAGGCAACTTGTGAGACGCTCTAGAAATTTTGTAAGGGACGAGATCGTTTTATCGAAGGCAACATCGAGGGACTATGATCTTTGTTTATCAAAGGGACATCTGCTAGAGTGTCTCATACTCGAGGGACATGATTGCATTTTCCGAGGCAACAAGCGAGACTACCCTAAGGGTGCATGTGTGAATAGTGTGTTTGATTTGCATGCATTTTGTCTTGATTAGGGGTTTCCTACTTGTTGGTTTTATCTTTCCATACACACCTATTTACTAGCATTTGTATAAAGCAATAAAAATGTAGCAAATAAATATCCTACACTATTACAACCATATTGAAGTGCAGAAGAATATAAAGGAAAAAATAAGATAAAAAGAAGAAAAAAATGAGCTCCTTCGATTTGGGCAGGAGCAGCCTTCGATTTTCATTTCTAGGCTTCCTTTGATTGGGAGTTCGCACCAGTGAGGTCATGGCCTTCGATTGGGCTTTGGCACCAGTCAGGTCATGTACTTCGATTGGAGGCTGGCACCAGCATGGGAGTGCCTTTCATCTGAGCCTGGACTTAGTGCAAGTGTGCCTCTGGCTGGGCCTTTCTGCCTTGTTGCCTTCTTCGATTGGGCCAGTGAAATCAGTGTGAGCGTGTCTCTGGCTGGGCCTGGAAGTCAGTGTGGAAACCAAAGGCTTCGTTTTATACTCCTGTCTACTGTTTCTTTCGTTTGAACTTTTTGAACAGCAACATGGCATAAGGCCATGCTAGTATTGCCTTACAATCAGTTAATACTTAATGCATATTTAAGTAAACAAGTAGCAAAACGAAAGGGGTTAGCTTTGAAAACATATTAAGTAGGTGGAAACGAAAAGAATCAAAGTGTTATGTACATGTTTTGAAATGAAAGGGAAGATTATTCACATACTATGCCACGAAACGAAAGATTCAAGGGTAAGAGTGACTTACCTTGCTTCAGGCCTTGAATGGACGTGGGATTCGAACTTGAACTTCTACCTGGACATTTCTGGAATTCAAAGAGTAGTCACAGGGGGTTTGCTTTTGGTTCGAAGAGTTGTCACATAAGGTTGTCTTTGAGTTTGAACAAACTTCTATGTGTGGGGTGTTCTTCAGAATCGAAAGAGGTGAGTGTTTGGGATTCTGGGTTTTGATTTCTCAAGTGTTGATGAGCTTGAGAGTTTTGTTGTGTTTGAGAAAATTTGGGAGATTCGTTCCTCTCCTAGCTTTGTAAATGTTCCTCTATTTATAGAGAAAGAATGGACATGTTGTCCAAAGCCAGCCTTGCAAATAAATGATAAAATAATGTAACGTGAAAGTACATGTGGGGGGCCTCTTGGCAGTTGGGGTGCAGAAGATGTGACTTATGCTTCTGACGTTGCTTGTGCTCAGACCAAAATCAGGTTGAAAGCTGATTTTGTGACTAAAGTACTCTCTATGAAAGGAAAGAGCATGTAGCCTTTAACCAATAATAGTAGTATCTAAAAGACAAAGTTTAAAACCCTTGTACAAGCTTCTGACTATGTAAAGATTTGGACGCAACATAGCCTGGCAAACAAGATTTGGTCTTGAGTCAAATGCAAGAATGAGATCGAAGCGCACTTGTTCGAAGGAAGCCTTTGCCTCAGTCGAAGCTTGTGGTCGAAACAAGCTTACTCGAAGGAAGCTAATGCCCTGTCGAAGCTTGGATCAAAACAAACGTATTGCCCAATGGAAAGACTGTGTTCGAAGGAAGCAATGTTTCCTAATCGAATCAAGTGGATCGAAACAAACATAAAGGGAGTCATTGCCTTTTAGCGTGAAGGAAGTTCCTGGCTTCTGAGTTGAAGAGCGCTTTTTTCAAGGGAAGCAAGAACTTAGTCACATCTTATATGAAGATACTTCTTGGATCAACCGAAGCTTGTATGAAGCAAAGTATGCAAGAGGCCCTTGGTGCAAGTGGATTTGAAGGATGCATAGAGATGGTTACTTTTTCCCATCGAAACTTGTCCAAACGAAGCAAGCATGCAGACAGCAAACTTGTCCAGTCGAAGCAGGCTTGTAGGCAGTAAACTTGTCCAAATCGAAGTAGGCTTTGCAGGCAGCACGCTTGGTGAATCGAAAAGGTTTCCTTACAGGGGGCATGTGTGGCCAACATGTCATGGCATTTGATTGCAACCATGTAGGCAACACACTTGTCCAATCAAAAGGCTGAATCGAAGGAGGTTTCAAATCCAAATGAAGGATGTATCTAAGTTGCATTCGAAGGAGGTTTCAAATCCAAACGAAGGATGTACCTAAACTGGCATTCGAAAGAGGCTTTAAGTTCAAAATGAAGGATGTAATCCAAGTTGAATTCGAAAGAGGCCAAGAGTCAATCGAAGGGTGCTGAATCGAAGGAGACCTGTTTTCCTCCAAATTTGTCAAAATGTTATTTTTATCTGTTTTCTCCATTTTTGACAGTTTCTTTTTAATTTTGGTATTGGAAAATCCAAATGCACTTGTTCAAGCTTGAACCTTGAAAATACTTATAAGAAAGGCCTTGAGAATTGAGAGGGCAAATTTTGGGGTACAACAAGAAGGTATCAAAGGATAAGAGTTCATCTCATCTTAATTCGACCTGTCACTATTGTTGTGTGAAAGGTCACACCATTGCCAAATGAAAATTTAGGAATTTTTTGGTTCCTGATGGCATTTATCAATGGTTACAACCATAGTGTTACTTACCCTTAAGGATCTAATGAAGATTGGATACCTAGTTCATCTTATTGATTGTGCAGGAAATATGTCTTGGCCTACAAAGAGAATATTAGATTCATTTATAACATCTCAAGGCACATGATAAGTGACATATCCAAAATTTATTAACTTTGTGATAATAGAAAAGGATGTGGATACCATGAAAGCATCAATAAGTATTCCTAAAGTGGTGAAAGATATGTGATACTTCATCAAAGAGAAAAGTGATGAAAACGTTGATGTTTAAAAGATCTTATGGCACGTCATTGCATTTTTTTCAACTTCCGTTCGGAGGTTCTTCGTTAGATACATAGTGCATCCTCCATCTTGTTAAACAGTGAGGTTGTATCGTTTCTATTTTCTCTTTGTTCGCAAGTTCATTCTTTTACCTTTTATTGCTCAAAGATATGTGATATACTCGATGTGTGATACATGATACAAGTGTTTACATTCGAAAATTTCTAATTGGCAAACTATGTGTTTTCAACTTACATGTTTATAGTGATCTCTTTCTAATTTCCTCACATGTATTTCTCTATTGTGTGCTTTTATGTATTGTGTTTATTGTTACATTACCATGAAACATGATTATTTTTCATATGCATTTCATTGCTAGTCAAACATGAGTCAACTTTTGTCTCTCCAGACATCAAAAAACCTTATTTCTCAAGAAAATTATTTATTTATGTATCATGAGTTGACGTATGATATGTATAGGTCAATACATGACCAATTAATTCAAATAATTGTTTTTTGGTTCAATATGAGTCGACACATGTGTCATATAAGTCGACACATGTGTCAATGTTTCAATTAATGAACTTTTCAGTTCTGTATGTGTCGATGCATAAGTCACATGTGTCGACACATAGGTCAATATAGGTCGACACGTGCATGAAGATGATGGAATTTTCCAGATTTTTGGTCTATCTCTTCATCTTCCTCTTTCTTTTCTCATTCTTGATCGTTCCAACTTCACATTAACTCACATCTCATCTTGATTCAATTCACCTAACTCATTTACATCTCCACTAAACCACCATAAATTCCCACTTCATTGCATTCAAACAAAAACATGACCATAATCTCATTAAAACCCCACTCAATATCTTCACTATAAATCTCTTGTGTCTCACTCTTGTTCAAGCATACCCACATCTTTAAATATCGATTTTCTACATATTTGTGGCATTAGTTGTTGATTTTGTGTAGTGATGTATTCATAATTCATATTTGGGGTTTGTGAGAAGTCACATATTCCTCAAATTCCAAGTTTATTCGCTCATACTTTCTGTCAAACACTTGGTGTGCGGGTCTGTTCTTAAAATTTTGTTATGGCACCAAAGCTAAACGGGAGCAAGGGTGATGCTAGGGGTAAGAAACAAGTCGGTTCATCTTCAAACAGAGCTGAAACTTCATTTTCTCTTATTGATAATGAGAATATTGCGTTCTTTGAAAAAACAGGTATGGGAAGACTTGTTCTGAAGCAACATGTCTACAAGGCTAGTGTTATAGATGAATTGCATTTGCCTGAAGTTGTTAGTCATGTCAATCATCAAGGTATCGACTATTTCCTTTCACTCTCACAAGAGTATAATGAAGATCTTATTTGTGTATTTTATGTTGGATTTCAAAATAATGCTAAAAACCTTCTTCTCTATTTTCCAATCAGTCCAAAATTCTATTGTTTTTTTACACAACTCAAAACCATCGTAAGGATGAGACATTTGACAAAACTTTGGAATTTTACTATATCTAACTTTCAGTGTTTATCATTATAATGAGAAGTTAAAGTAATATAACCCCCAATATTAATTTATGTCCAGACTAAAAAAACACATCATTATAGAACTTATGAAAAAAGTTTATCTAACAATCAATGAAAAAACAAGGAGCAACAAAATAAATATCAAGCTAAAAGCCATGGCATCATTGACACTAATTTAACTCGTTTCCTTGCTATTGAACGAGCGACATATTCCCTATTTTTTATCATCTTTTCTGCTTTCACAACAACCTTCTCCACCATATCCTCTCGAGTAGTTCTTTTTCTTTCGAGCATATGCGTATATGACATAGTTCCTATAATAGGTATACAAGAGCAACGTTACAATTTCATTTGAGGAAAATAAGCTTAAATACATAATTCAAAATTGAAGCCATGTCAAGAAGAAATGTCAAAGATATTGTAATTTTGCAGTAGGATCCTTTTCATGTACTTTAAAACTTGAAGTCATATTATATATATATATATATATATATATATATATATATATATATATATATATATATATATATATATATATATATATATATATGTATATATATATATATATATATATATACATATATATATATATATATATATATGTATATATATATATACATATATATGTATATATATATATACATATATATATATATATATATATATATATATATATATATATATATATATATATATATATATATATATATATATATATATATATATATATATATAAGACTCTTAAAAAGAGGACAAATTCTAGGGGTGGCAATGAAATAAATTCTAGTGAAAATATAAGAGTAACAATTCACATTAGCAAATGAAATTAAGAAACCTTACAACTAGCCTTAGAGACAAAATATAAAAAAGAGGGTTAAATATAAAACACCTCCTGCAATATAGACAAAATTCACTTTATCTCCTATAAAATTTTTTTTGAATCATCTTCTTGAAATGTAAAAATGTTATGTCTTTTGTCCCCTAAGTGCAAAGTTTACTCCTCTGTAATTTTTTTTTATTTACTCCTCAGATTCAATGTTTAATTTGTATATTTAGAGAGTAATCCAAAAAAAAATATTACAAGAGGAATTCAAAAAATATATATTACAATGGAGGTAAAGCGAATTTCACCTATATTCTAGGAGATAAAATAGTATTAACCCTAGAAAAGATTACTTTCCATTTCTTTATAGAATACTTCAAACAGGATCATTAAAACCTTAGTCACGTTGCATACAATGTCAAAAACAAACAATAAATAATATTAGCAGAAATTTGATAAAGAGTGTGGCTTACACACTACACCACTGAGTCAAAATATTGGTAATAATGTTCCATTATGTAACATAGGGGTTGAAATTGTTAAATTGTAATTCAGTGTGGCGAAACTATGTGTCGAAAAGATTTGATTTGTTTTAGATTTAAATAGATTTGATTTAAGTCTAAAATAAATTAGATTTGATTTAGTTACAAAAAGATATTTTGGGCTTTGGGCTTATGGTGTAAGCTTAGTTATAAATAGAGGGAGTAACCCCTATTTTTGTAAGAAGTCAAGCAAGTTGTATTCACAGAATTTGCAATTGCAAGTGAATAACAAGGTTTTCACAGTTTGTGAGCAGAGAGAAACTTTGCAGAAATTATTTGTCTTGTCTTCTTTTTTGTTTGTCTCATAATTAAATTATAATTGTGGTAAAAATTCATCATAGATTTTGGTGGATTTCCAACATCTGGTATCAAGAGCTTTTGTTTCGATTCAAGGGAAGTATCAATCAAGAACGATTGAAGAATTCACGATGACAAGTTATGGGAATGCAAACTATCCAGCAACGCTACCAATTCTGAAAATTGACAACTATGAGAATTGGTGCAAAAAGATGAAAGTCTTATTCAGGTGTCAAGGTCTTTGGGACCTTGTAAAAGATGGAGTCTAAGCGCTTAGAGAAAACGCTTCAGAAGAAGAAAAGAATAAATACACAGAATCTGAGAAGCTCAGTTATTAAGCATTATTTATAATTCATCAATGTGTTAGCCCAAACAATTTCGAAAAGGTTAGTGATTTAGAATCTGCGAAAGAAGCTTGGGAAATCCTTGAGAAGTCTTTTGGAGGCGTTGAAAAGGTGAAAGAAGTGAGGTTACAAACTCACAAAAGGACGTATGAACTGCTTCAGATGGAAGACAGTGAAAGCATATCTGATTTCTTCACTAGAGTTACAAAACTAATAAATCAAATCAAGATATGTGGAGATGCGTTAACAACAAGAGCTGTTGTTTCGAAGATCTTGAGATCTTTAGCTCCTGAGTTCGACCATATAGTGGTGGCGATAGAAGAGGGGAAAGACTTGTCAAAATTGACAAAGGAAGAGCTTCAAGGGACGCTTGAATCTCATGAACAAAGAATGAATGAAAGAGTTGCGGGCAAATCGAAGAGTGATGTGGTCTTGCAGGCACATTCAACAAAAGAAACCAAAGGCAAAGGAAAATGTTTCGACAGAGGTGGAGGTGGGTACAACAAATCGAATGGTAAAGGAAACCAGATCGAAGGAAACGTGTCGAATCAAAGAAGGCCATACCAAGGCAACCAAAGAGGTGGTGTTGCAAATAGAGGAAGAGGTGGTGGTCGAAAACCTGATAAGAGTCACATTCAATGTTACAATTGTCAGAAGTATGATCACTATTCGAGTGATTTTCCAGAAAAACGAAAGAATCAAGAAAGTGGTGCAAAGCTTGCAAAACATGAAGAAGAAGAGAAGATGTTGATGGTCACAACAAAATATGAAGATAGATTCAAGGACCAATGGTACTTGGACTCAAGATGCTCATCACATATGTCTGGAAGGAAAGACTGGTTTGTCAATATAAAGCCCTCAATGAAAAATATGGTAAAATTTGCAAATGACAATACCCTAGCAGCTGAAGGTATTGGTGATGTTATGATTATGAGGAAAGATGGCAAGATGTCAGTAATTTCCAATGTGTTGTACATACCAGACATGAAGAGAAATTTGCTCAGTATAGGGCAGTTGGTCGAAAAGAATTATAAAGTTTGAATCGAAGATAAGATGATGAGAGTCGTTGATGCAAATGGGAGATTAATCTTGAAGGCTCCTATGTCTCAGAATCGAACCTTCAAGATTGAACTAAATGTGATGGAGCACAAGTGCCTTTCGACTACAGCTAGCAGAGATGAATGGATATGGCATTATAGACTATGCCATCTCAACTTCAGAGACATCAGAGATTTGAAGAGAAGAAATATGGTTTCAGGATTTCCAGAAATCGATATTCCAAACGAGGTATGTGAGGAATGTGTGCAGGCGAAGCAACACAAGAATAACTTCAGCAAGGATGTAGGAAGCAGATCGAAGGCTATTCTTGAAGTCATATACTCTGATGTATATGGACCAATCCAGGTGGATTCGATGGGAGGTAACAAATACTTTGTTACATTCATAGATGATTTCAGTCGAAAGCTATGGACTTACTTGATAATGAAGAAAAGTGAAGTGGTCGAAGTATTTGCCAAGTTTAAGTCTATGGTCGAAAGACAAAGTGGTAAAAAGCTCAAAGTTTTAAGAACTGATGGTGGTGGAGAATATGTGTCGAATGACTTCGACAGACTATGTGAAAAGGAAGGGATTGTGCATGAGGTGGTGCCACCTTATACTCCACAACAAAATGGAATTGCAGAAAGGAAGAATCGAACCATCATGAATATGGTGAGAAGTATGTTGAAAGACAAGAATTTACCTAAAGAATTTTGGGGTGAAGCTGTTTCGACTGCAACATACATTTTGAACTGATGTCCTACAAAGAAGCTAGAAGGAATTACTCCAGAAGAATTTTGGTCTGGTGTGGAGCCTAGCTTGAGTCGTCTTAAGGTATTTGGATCTATTGCACATAGACATGTGCCAGATCAGTTGAGAAGAAAACTTGATGACAAGTCAAGTCAAATGATTCTAGTTGGATATCATTCGACAGGAGGTTACAAGTTGTTCGATCCAGAAAACAAGAAGATTGTGATCAGCAGGGACGTGATCATAGATGAGTTTAAAGAATGGGATTGGACTGAAAATGTAAAGAAAGATTCAGTGGGAATCCTATTCGAAGAGCCAGAAACTCAAGTCGAAAGAGAAGTTTGACAAGAGGAACCAACAGATGTACCAAGTACAAGCAGACCTCAAAGAACAAGACGCATGCCTGTAAGATTGCAAGATTGTGTGATTACATCAGATGATTTCCCTTTAAAACTCACAGATCAATCTTTCCTTTCCCTATTTCATAAGTCAATTTTAATTTAATAATATTTTAATAAATATTCTTCTTTTCTAAATTGTTTCCTCATGTTTTCTATTCCCTATTTTATCCTTTCCATCTCAACCCCGTAACCCATGTTTTCGGTAAGTTTTTCTCCTTTTTATTTCATCATTGATTGATTCATGTGGTGTGTTTTATTTATTGCAATTTTTTCTTTGATTCATTTGGTGGCTTTCAACCCGTACCTTTCAATTTTCTGCATAACTATGCAGTAAAAACTATGTAGCTAGAATTGTGTCTTTGATGACAGTCTTAGAAATGTTGCAAGTGGAAAAGTAGCTGGATTTCACACTGTGATTGTAAGATACTATAATTTTCTATCTGCAAAAAAACCTATGTAATTACTGCTATGATATGCATTGCAAGCTAACAAGTAACAACATAAGTGTGATTTAGTTACAGTTCAATTTTCTGATGTGCTTCTTAGGTCACCTTAAGTCGAATTTGGACATGACTTGATGTATGATGCTTTTACACAGATATTACAGGCCGCAAGTGTGAGCTGAACTGGTCTGGTTTAGTTGCAGGTTGGTGATATGTTTTGGTTCAGATAATTGAATTTTGAAGGACTTTGTTGCATTGTTTTGCATAATTGTTTAGACCATGAGCATCTTGATGATGAGTTAATGGTGGGTTGAATTTGCATCTGAAATTGTGTTAGAATTTGATCTTGTGTTGCTTATGTTTGAATTATGGATTATAGCATGACTTGAACATGTATTTGGACATGATAGGTTGATGAAGGTTGAATGAATATCATGCCCTGTAGGGGCTTATGTTGATTCTGTTATGACTATTTGACAAATTCATGTTACAATTATTTGGCTGCAGTCTCAACTAGGAGTGTAGGGTACGAAGCGCAACTACTCTCAACAATGAAACAGAAACATATATAGAAAAAATTGTTTATATATGAATTACTTATTGGGTATGTGCATCTTGCCATTGGTGACCAAGTCCCCGCTGATGGATTATTTGTTTCTAGATATTCTCTTTTGATTGATGTTTAGTGGGTGTAAATTTAATAAAAAAACGGGTGTAAATTAACCTTTTTGTACTAGTGTTATGTTTCATATTATTTATCTCTTAAAACTTTTGTTTTGAATTTGGGACGACTCTTTCTCAAGAGAAATTTGGTTTTGTTTAAGAATGATAATATCAAAACTTATTTATATTTTTGCGATTTATTAGTGTTGGCTGAAGATTTTGATATTATGATTCGAAATAAAATGATTGGGCTTTGTTTGAATAAAGCAAGTTTGATGATTTAGAATGGAAGAGAATGTTTGTTTCGAATGGAAATATTAAAGTTCAAGGTGTCAAATGGTAGTTGTGGAGTGTAAGTCTAAAGCCTTGTTCGAAATACTGACGAGACTATATTTGTGAGGGTTTGTTTTCGAAACAAATTCGAAAGGAAGGTACCAAGGCGTTTGAAATTCAAACGTGAGCGGGATATTGGAAATTCAAAATACATAAGCATTGGGACGTTCGAGGACGCGTGGAGGCCAGAGGGAAGTAATGCTCTGCATGCTTCAAACGTGGCAGATTCTGATAGCAAGACCGTTATGGTCGAAGTAGTATAAATAGAGGTCTTAGTATTAAGATTTAGTGTGTCATATCTGTTGTACAAATCCAATAAACATTCAAAATACCGCATGGATAGGGAAACCAATGCTCGAAAGATGTACGTATGATAACACCAACATTTACAATTCAATGAAAACTCTTTACATTTTCCAGTTTTGTCTTTCATTTCCGTTTCATTTGTGCTTCAAACATTTTACGTTTCTTTCCTTTACATTAAAGCCTTTACATTCGAAGTCATTTATTCCTTTCTGCATTTAAATACTTTTCTTATGTTCGAACCCTCTAAACATTTAGTAACTTTTGCATCCACTCATTTAATCCTGCCATTTACCCAATTTTAAGTCTTTAAACTTTTTTCATGAACATTCCTAATACCATATAGAAGTTATCCTTCGAACCATTCAGTATAGTAATCGAAGTGGATTGGATATCTTAGAAACAATTCTAATTTGAAGTCCTGAATATGAATACCAGTTTTACAATTAGACTTAACCAAACAACTATGTTCCATAGGATCAATCTAGTCGATCCTGCAAGTTACCAGGGAAATTGAATAACAGTCATTAAGTTTATTCGATAGTTTGGAAGACTAGCGGTTGTTCACCAGAAATCACTGTGAACAAATTGGCACACCTGGTGGGACAAGTTGTTAAGAAAGTTGAAAGTAAAGATTTTTAGGATATAATCTTGTTGTGTAAGTTCTTTTCTGAATATCGACTTCGCTGTTATATGAACCTTAGAAGTGGTAAAACAACTAATAGTAACCAACCCTTACCCAGAAGAAAATGTAGTAGTAGGATGTCTAATCCAGGCAATCAACAAGGGGAACAAATTGCCTCACATGGAACAGGCACCAATACGTCTGTTTCGACGGGGACATCTAACGCGATCCCTACGAACGCACAGTCTGTTGCATCTTCTACCAGTAGTATGGCCACAAATGGAGCAAGTGGCATGACAACCAACGGTTCAATCATGGGAAATACAGGGACCACTAGTTATCTTTCGGGATCTGTCCCACCATCACGGACACAAACCCATTTCGCCACCCCACTAACTAGACCACCCCGTTTCGATGGCAACAGACACAGAAATCCCTCTTATAGGATGCCAACATCTTTTATGGCAGGTTTGCACAATTCCACATCAAATTCGTCACCACAATTTGGATCCGGATCTGGGGCCAACCAATTTATGACAAATACCCAAGGTTCAATGGGTCACAATACATTTCCTATCTTAACCACAGAAAATCAGATGGCCTTTAGACAATTAATGGATGATAGTAACCATAATATGATAGGAGTGTTAGCGCAGACTATGCAAGAAATCTTTGCCCCAATAGTACAAAACGTAATTGTAACCAACAGAGAAAACGCGGACAACATGAGTCGAATAGCAGATTTTTTCGCTCCGCCAGAAAGGCGTAGGCAGAATCAGGCGGGGGTTCAAGCGAACATACCCATCATAGAACAAATTGCTGATGACCCACCCTATAGACCAGCCAGAGAGGGGGTTAACTTGGGGGCAAGGGCGCAAAGGTTAGAGGCCCCAGTGATTCGAGAGGAACCACAAAGGGGAGTTATAGAACCAGGGGCAAGGGTCGAAAGGTTAGAGGTCCCAGAGTTTCGAGAAGAACAACCTAGAGGAGTTGTCATGGTGGGTCGACACCAAGATGCTGATGAAGTCATTCATAGAATTCGAAATGACAACATCTTAGCAGAAAATAATTTAACCACCATGATAGAAAGGATTATGGCTCAAAATGGTCTCAATACAGGAATTAGAAGGCCAAACTATTCCTCTCCCATAGTAGATTATGTGATGCACACTGATTTACCAAGGGGATATAAAGTCCCCAAATTTACAAAGTTCGCTGGAGACACCAATGAGTCAACAGTCGAACACATAGCCAGGTATCTGACGAAGCGGGAGATATAGCAAATAATGAGAACCTTAGGATTAAATATTTCCCAAGTTCCCTAACTAAGAACGCTTTCACATGGTTCACCACATTGCCTCCTGGATCCATAGATACTTGGACTCTTTTGGAGAGGTTATTTCATGAACAATTCTACATGGGACAATCTAAAATAAGTCTGAAAGAGCTAGCCAGTGTCAAGAGGAAGTTTACTGAACCCATAGATGATTATCTGAATAGGTTCAGACTCTTGAAGTCTAGATGTTTCACAGTAGTTCCTGAACATGAGTTAGTCGAAATGGCTGCTGGTGGCCTAGACTATTCCATTCGAAAGAAACTAGATACACAACACTTGAGGGATATGGCCCAATTAGCGGACAGAGTTCGACAAGTCGAAAGACTAAAGGCCGAGAAGGCTAGGGTTTTTAAAAATAGCAAGAAAGAAAGGGTTTCCTATGTCGGAACTGAGGAAGCAGAAGATTATCCTGAATTCGAAGAGGTCGAAATTGATCTCGCTGAATTGAAACAGGCTCCACCTTATTCCTGTAAATTACTAGTTCCCACAAAAGGGAAAGAAATTATTGAAAATGAGAAGAGTGACAAGTTCCCAAAGAAGGTGTATACCTTCGACGTAACTAAATGCGACGAAATTTTTGATTTGCTTGTCAAAGATGGCCAACTAATAGTGCCATCGAATGTCAAATTACAACCTTTAGATCAAAGAAAGAAAAGAGGATTTTGTAAGTATCACAGTTTCTTAGGCCACAAAACCTCACAATGTTTTCTTTTCAGGGATCTGATTCAAAATACAATCAAGGATGGTAGATTAAGGTTCGCTGACAAGCCAAAGATGAAGGTGGATGATGACCCTTTAGATGTTGCCGACACCAACTACTCTGAACCTGCATACATTGGAGAGATAAACATGGTTGGAGTAAATGAAGGTGACGCTCCATCAGATAAGGAAAACACCGAAGATGAGAACTGCGTGTTAGTTGAAATCAAAAAGGAAGTTACTGAGGACTTCCATAAGGAACAAGAGGCTTCGATTGAAGCAGTTCCTTTGGTTGCTTCTAAAGAGATCCAGGCTATTGAAGGCCAGGAAAACCAGAAACAAAATTTGACACAGGCTACTGAAGGTTTGAGGCAAAAGTTGGAGAAAGTACAGATCACACTGCCAGTTCTTCCTCCGAAGGAAATATGGGATACCTTGGGGGAGCCCAACAGAAAGTTCAATTACATGGTGAAGTATTCCGCCCCAGAAAGCTCAAAGACCCGAATTGAAGACATCAAACCTACAGGTTGGGGAGATACTGATATCAAAGGAGAAGATGTGGATGTTAACATGGTAAATATGGAGCAACCTTGTTCTGAAATGGAAGAAATGGAAAGGTACTTAGAGAAAGAAAAATACAAGATGGAAGACAGTTATGCTAGGGATGCCAGTCTCAAAGATTACCTTATGCTTTGCCACAAAGAGAATGTTGCAATGATGTTATGTCCCAGATGTAGCATCATTTATAATCAGAGAATTGCTGCAGACTTTGAAAAAAAACAAAGGGCACGAACAGGCATTAACTGGCGCCAGGATAACCAGCTGTTCAGATGCTACCCTAAGGCTGGAGAAAGTCTTATGGGGTTCTTAGTTCATTGTCACAAGGGGGCAACCAAATGCCTAGTGTGTCCAAGATGTTCTGCAGTATATGATCAGAAAGTGGATGAAACCTTCGAAACAGTCCCTTTCGCCCCATGTTGGAACCACAGAGAAACTGGTCAAATGGGCCAACGTTTCGAGAACAACTACACCCAACAGAGGTCTGACAGCCCTTATCCTAGAGGCGCTCGAAGGGTAACATTTAAAGTTCCTGCTGATGCACCAACGGACAAGTGGCTACAAGTTAGAGCGGACAATGGGAGAGACAAGTGGAGGAATAATGAACGGAATACACGCCATGCCATGACGTACAGAAGACAATTCAATATGGCGAAAAGAGAAGAAGTAAGGTTGGAAAACTACAAGGGAAAGAACCCTATGTCCAGGTCACAATGGCGAAGGCAACAAAGAGTTCGAAAAGCTGAGAGAGAAGCTATGCTAAACAAAGGAGTGGCTTCGAGAAAAGACAAAGAGGAATCAAGCACCAACAAACCTGCACCAAACAATCAACCTGGGGACCAACCTCCGGTTAGCAGGAGACTTTTCTTTGAAACAAAGCAAAACGAATCAAAGGAATATATGCCAGGTCTAGAGGAGGATGAGGATGTGCTGATTGACAATTTCGAATCAGAAGGGAAATCTTCACTCAACATCAACTGCAATATGGTATCTGTGTTGCCTTGCGAATTTGGGCAAGAGACTGAAGTCGAAGAGCACGAAGAGGATGATGCAAT